GTGCTTATATAAGGAGCACCGGGGACGTACAAACTCTAATGGGCACCTAAGGGTATGTACTATAAAAGAAGCACCTGGTGGGTATGCAATTTTTTTAATTGAGCCCCGGGGGAGAACTTATAAAGGAGCACTTGGGGAGGTTTTTAACTATAAATACACCTGGGGGGTTTTAAAACTTATAAAGGACCCTGGGAGGTATCTAACTTACAAAAGGGAGCACCTGGGGGGTATGTAATTATATAAGGTAGAGTTTTTGGGAGACATTGGAAAGTCAGGGGCACTACTGAAAAAAAACATAATCGAATGTGAAAACAAAAAAGAGCGGGGAAGGGGAACAGAAAAGGGGAGAATTTCTAAAATATTTTATTAATAGATGAGGCTAAAAATTTGATGGGAAAGTTGGATTTGTTCAAGTGGGGGTAAACATTGATTTATTTGCCATAAGGGAAAATATAAAAAACGACATGCCTGCTGAAGTAAATTTCAGTCTTTTTTGGCAGAGTTTTCGGAGGGTGTAAAAAATTTATTTTAGGCGTGACATTCCGTCCCCCATACCCCCAAGGGACCAATAAAGCCTACTCTGGGGAAATTTTTAGGGCCACAGCACTAAAAACGTGTAATTTTTGGGGTTTTTTTAAATCAAACTGATGGAACTATTTGACCTGAATTAGATCAACCCCCTAGAAGTATCAGGATTGATTTTAAAACAGTTTTTCAAAACCATGGGGGAAAATAACTGCTTGACTTGGGTTCTGACAAACAAAAAAAAACTCTTTTTGAAAATTTAAAAATTACATAAAAACTTGAAACGAGCGCCCATAAATCAATTACCTTCAGCATTCATGCAACCCCATCCCGGGGCAACACCCCCCCCACTTAAGATTTATTTATTTATTTATTTATAATTTGGGGCACACTTACAGGGGGTACAAAAAAAAATACGATAAGAGCGCTCCCAAAACCCCACTTTACTAGCATACTTAGGGGCTGGCAAAAATTAAACTTAAGTTTAACTAGCATGATGAAATCAGTGAAAAACTTTAATGTAAACTTTTTTACTAAAACAAGTGAGTATTACAAAGACAGGTTAGGGTTTTTGCAGCATTGTTGTAAATTTCGTAAAAGAGTATCTTTTAGGATGAATTTAAAAAATAATAAAGTTAGTTTGGGTTTTGGGTTTAACATATGTAAATTTAATGTGAAAACTTTTTAAGATATACAATTTTTAAGGTTCATTTTTCAGTATTTATTTTTTTTTGGGGAGTAAGTGTCTTCTTTGGAAGAGACTTGAATTATAAACATAGTGTTTCTTTTATATTAACAGAAAATAAATTTCCAGATTTTGGGCCCTTTTTATGTCATTGAGTTTTTGCATACGTGAGATGGACACGAGGAATATAAAGAGTGATCTTGCCTTGTGTTATGGTCTTGTTCTTTTGGGGTTTGGGCAAGGAAGTTTGGGGGGGGTTAATATCAGAGTTGAGGTTCTATGTATGTAATAGGGCGTAAAAAAGTATGGATGTTTTGTAGGGTGATAGGTTGAGTGTTTTGAATTTTGGTGGAGGTGCTCCCTTAGGAGAATTTGTTATCTTCTAACTGCCCTTTTGTTGGGAAAATTAGTGGCTGAGATGGTTACTTGTTGTTGAGCCCCATGCAAAAATTTCCCCATGGTGAATAGGGTAAATA